GGAGGATGTCTGTTCCAAATTGTAGATGTAGTCAAATATTTCTCAAAAGGTCTCAACCCTGCACAACAAAGATATGGGACAAATACTAAAGAATTGTTCGCACTCGTATACAGTCTGGAACATTCTTCAGAATACATCAAAGGCGGCGATATAACATTGCGGACAGATCACAAAGCGTTACGCCAGATGAACAAGCAGCAAACGCTGCATCCCATGCTCACTACACTGTCGAAGAAACAGTGAATAAACTCATACTCGATGGCCACACATGGTCTAGACATAAGAAACATGTCAACCAATATATTGAGGTGTGTGTACCATGTCTCAAGAACAAAATTCACAAGAAGGTATTCCACCCTTTACAATCAATAGCCGCCGCATTCCCGGGCGACAAGATACAAGTGGACACCATAGGTCCCTTGATAGACTCGAATAGGGACAACACGTACGTTCTGATATGGCTAGACGTATATTCATCATACGCTATACTTAGACCGACGATGGACAAATCGGCAGCCACTGTTGCACGAACATTAGTTCCAATCATGCGTGAACATGGATTTTCACAAGTCATACAGACGGATCAGGGCACAGAATACGTGAATGACATACTTTCAAAAATCATTGAGCAGGCACCGTCACAACACTTAGTGTCCAGACCGTATCAACCCAAAGTAATTGGAGCGAATGAGCGCTCGCACAGGAACCTCATCCCTTTACTACGGAAATTTGTTGAACAAAACCCAGGCAACTGGTGCTCACGCCTCCCATTTTGTCCAGATGGGCCACATCCTACGTTCTTCACGCAGACACAAATCACCAAGGTTCAATGCGTACTATGGGCGACGACAAAACCAACTCACCAATTATGACACAACGGTCAGTGCACCAGGTACAACCATAACATGGGAAACACGATTACAGAATCTAGAGGAGTCAATACGACCACAACTAGATGCCAATGTGGCACAATATCAAGAAAAAAAATGCGCGCTGCATTTAATCGCAAATATAAAGAGAAGTATGTACACTTCCAGGAAGGGGACATTGTGATGGTTTGTTACCTAGGTGAAATGAATAAAATGACAGCACCATATGGAGGACCATACAAGATAGCAAGCAAAGAGGGCAACGGATATTTCGTCCGTAACCTTGATGGCACTCGCGCCCCCGAATATCCTAACTCAGTCAATGATGAGCTAATTGGTTTAGTCAAGAAGGCTAGCGAATCCGAAGATTTCACTACCAACAATCAAGTCCAACCAGCAGAAGAGACTCAATTCTCCTTGATACTAGACCACAGATAATCCACCAGAGGTGGAGGAACCCAGAACTACCTACTGCAATGGACAGATGGAGAGCGCACCTGGACACATGAATCAGACATCGCAGATCCAGATATTCTTACGATATACCGACAGCGTAAACGACGCAAGCGAAGGCAATCCAGGCCGAAGAAGTCAACAGCAACCAGCACTGATGAACGATCAGCGTGCAACAGGCAGCGCACGAGGCGGGGAACTTAGCCAAGTTTCACTGGCACCAAGGGACACTCCCACTTCTATCACCTTGAAGCATGCTCTGCCCACACACCAGAGGGATAAGGACCAAAGACTCGGTGGAGAGCCACCGTTGAGATGCGTTTTCCTAAGCCAAGTTGAGATCAACCGAGAGCACAGGTCAAAACTGACTCAGATAAGCGTGGTAGAGTATTCCTGTTATTTCGTATAAATCAATTTAATAGGTAATAAGTTAGAATGGATAATGGTGGCAGATTTTTCATCGTATGCCGCCTAAGGGACAAGTTTTTCCCCCTGTACAAAAAACACCAACCTCTAGATAATCTAGTCCTATAAGATGTCACTTTTTACTCCTACGCAGGCTAAGAAGCACAAAGTTGGGGGGCTGTAGCATCCAGGGGCCAGATTATCAGAAAAGCCAATCCTAAACCCAAAACCCAGGATTATTAAATACTGAGTTTTGGATCTAGGGTCCAATATTTCCGATGATAGAATAATCAGAAATATAGTGGGATTACCGGTAGATGATACCGGGACTCCCGCGTGCGAGAGAAACACTTAAGTAAATTTCGAGTCTAGTGTAGAAAATACTAAACACAAATAAAGACTCAATGCGAGTCCTTTAGTCTAGGACTTTTACCTGGCTGTAGAATTCGCACTTGAGAAGAGGTCTATTGTTTCTTCTGGTCGTAGCTTAATAGCTACTTTCAAACTCTACAATAAGTTGCGAAGGTGGGTTAGCTCACCATTATGCTTTGATAAGTCAAGTTGAAAGGCATCATCTTTAAGATGAGTCAACGACCTATATTCAGAAACCTGATTGTTATGTTCTGCGGCGAATATATCAATAGTAAATGGACCCCATTGTGATTGAGCAAGGTTAAACCATTTCTTATTAAGCATCCAATCGGTTGCTATTAGCTCTTTGACTGTTTTTTGATAGTCAGGGACAAGTCGAGAGAGCATGTCAGGAAGAATTATGTATTCCTGGTATGTGTGTAATGTTAAAAGCGAACTTAGCAATAATGTCATGCCAGTGGCTCACCAACTGTGAATCAGGGTTCATGTCCTTCAAACATATTAAAGACTTTTGATCACAGGCGACAGTGAAATAACTTCCATAAAGGTTGTTTTTAAACTATCTTAACGCAGTAACTATAATAAGGAGCTCTTGTTTAACGGTAGGGTAATTCCGTTGACTCTTATTATAACTCTTGCTAAAGAATTGTATGTAGCGCGGTTTACCATTCATCGTTTGGTAAAGCACTCCACCTACCGCTCGATCTGAAGCGTAGGTTGCTACTTGAAATGGGACGCCATCCATAGGGTATTGCATGATGGGTGCGTCCATTACTTTACTTTTGACTAGCTTAAATGCATCATCACATTCTTTAGCCCAGAGCTTTCCCAAAGGTCCTTTGTGCAGCCTACCAGGAGAGTGATACTTACGAAGTGAATAACATAGATGGTACTAGCGCAACAAATCTAGGCACTCACCGTATCCCTACCTCCAAACTCTCATTCGCTCGCTCATTTGATTCTGATGTCCCAGTTATGGAGTCACAAGTCAAAGATATATTTGACAAAACATCCGAAGACGATTACATTTACTACAAGACCCGTTTTATGGATGGGACAGTAGCTTGGCTAACCTCCGATGCATTTCGTGAATCTCGCGACTTTCTTCGTATCTTTAATAAGAAATGAAATAAGCGTTTACATAAGAACACACGAGATAAACGAAAAGGGTTTCCTCAGGTGACTACAAACCCTGACGGATCTGAAATTCCCTATTTGCCACCTACTTCCTATTTGACTAAACTTTCTGATCTGCTTACCAACAGAGCAGAAAATTCTTCGAACTTACTTACTAATGAAGAACAACCTTTGGCTATTACCTTACCAAATAATAAACGCAAGGCGCCTACATCGGAAATGGTTACTGGACCAAAATACTAAACGACATAGAGTACAACATGAGTCTTGAACTCGCACATATAGACACATACTTACTCGATAAGCCATGACCGAAACCGTTTTACTTTGGTTTTCGCTTTACGAACTAGATCGTACCTTCACGTACCTCCGTAGTCCTAAAAGCTACTGGGGCTAATTCCTTGATATAGTTTGAATCGTATGCGCCGGATACCCCGGATCGGTCTTAGCCTCGAGCATGATTGTGTCCGGCACACTGCCACCGATAGGGGCAATAATCTTTGGTACCCATGTGATAATGATACACTTGGCCTTGCAGAGGTGTGTATTGTTCGGGGGTAGAGCAACTTTCATTTCATAGTATGAAGCCTCAATAAGGAGATAGTGTTTTTTATTCATTGTAGCACAAAGTTGGGATTCAGGGTTTCATCATCTTCAGAGTTCCGTCGCGAGCTCAATCTCGTTGTCTTTCAGGCTCTGAGAAAACGTATTGGTCACACACCTGCTGATTGAATACACAGTTTCATGCAATGCACGCAAAGACCGGTATTCAGCTCGAGAGCTTTCCAATTTCTTATTAAGGTCGGAAATCTGTAGAAGAAGCGCGTATTTTCCTCAGTTGCCGTCTCATTATCGCAAGTCAATTGGCGTGCGATAGTTTCCTGTTCGTGAACCTTCCGTTCGGATTCCACCAAAAGCTTATGCACATTATCATGCTCCTGCTTGACTCTCTTCAGCTCATCGTTGCGCAGCTTGAGTACATAATCCAGCATATCCTTCTTCTTCTCACTTTGTTCAATCTCCTTAGCTTTGGTCCTCAAAGCGTTTGTGTGCTCATCCATGAACGAAAATATGCGCGACCGCATCCTGTTGAGCTGAAACTTCATCAAACGTAACTCCGTATTCATCGAATCCAAACGAGTTTCGAGTTCGGGTTCATCAACGTTATCCGCATCAATCATATCCAGATCATCCTGAATTATGTTTGTAAAAGAATGGGCGGAGGTGCAGTACATTACGTTGAAATGGTATCGCCGTAGATCGGCAACTGTGCAGTGCACTCTTGTACATCCTTCAATGATGCATTGGCTCGAAAGAGATGATCCGTTTGTATCGCAACCATCCGATGTACACTCGTGGAGGCTGAGAATTTCACCAAGTGATTCGCTGTCGAAGACTGGTTGTACCATAGAAGTAATCTAAGTCACCGATTGAGTAACGACAGTCACCATAGAGTTGCCCTGGGCGTTGATATTCGTGTACATGTCAACATGGTTCTCCTTGATCAGACGTCGTGCATGTTTTCTGAAGGCAGCAGCCGTAGTAGTGGCGAGTTTAGTAGGTTTGAGGAAGGTACCGATTCCATTCCTGAATTTGGCTTCGCATAGTGACCTTTTTACGAGTCTACGGACGTATATATGTTCTTCGGTGTAGATTTTATCTTTTGTACGTCTGGATGGCATGTTGCCTAGATTATTATTGATTTATAGATCTAGCTCAGAATTCGTCAGGTAGTTAGGTATACACACGGTCAATGTGTGGGAGCCTTTGGAAAATTCACCGGTTTTAGTGTACGTGAGCAATACTAACTATACCCGTTAGTCTGCAGCATATTCTAAGATAGAACCTTGTTAAACCCTCCCTCGGTGACTTTTACATATAGAGTAAGTACACAATCTTTGTACTTTAGTAGCAATAAAAACTCCATGTGACACCCCTTTACACGCCACCCGAGCTTACCAGCATACTTGTTCTTCATTTTCTAGCTACCGATATGAATTTCAGCCTAAAAAGCAGTATTGACGTCTTGAAGCTGTAGCCTATTGAATTTGTCTTATAGTTTTGATCTATAAAGTTGTACATGTAATATTTGTATGCTACCTGTATGATAATGTCTTAACTGACAGGTGTTTATGGACTAGAGAGGCATCTAATTCATGAATGTACGCCACGCAAAAAGCAGAACGGACAGCTTGCTTTTTTTTCGCAGTAGCTGGCGACAGAGGACAAGTCTATTGGTAGGGAGAGAATCAGTATTGAGAGAAATATGAAAGAATGCAGAAATTACAGTGCTATTAATTCTCTGCACGGTAGAGTCATCTCATGATATGAGTTCGACCTTGCAAACCACGAGATGGAGGTATCCTATGGCTTGATTAATTTGAAAGCACCAATAGCGGACTGGTATTTGAATAGACCAGCCAGTGTAGACGTAAGGTGTAAAAGTCTGGCCACTAAAACGCAAGCGTAAGTCGGCTTCAAGCTTTTTACGGGATGCAAGCAGTGAAGCTGGTGACTCAGACTCTATTTCCTATTAAATTACAGCCTTGCGCGCAAGTAGATCATAGCTTAAATACACTGCGAGACATTGTCCTTACGCTTATACGCCTTTGCTGCTTTAGCTTTGTAGTTGTCTATGATGCGAAGGTCACTATGTTTGCCTCGAACTTACACTTCTCGTATAGCATCGGCGCCAGCCTTATTCTATCACTATGGACACCTAACCAAGGAGGATATGTGATTTGGCACAGACCATTAATCCAACTGAGTTTATTATGCTCGGCTAGTGTATACACAGGCGAATATATTTTAGTGTTGATCTGTTCCGCAGTCAGAAGCATGAAACGCTTCTGCTTGTACATTTTATTCAAGAACGGAACAAAGGTCTCTGAGATCTGACTATATACATGCTGACTTAGATTGGATAACGTTTATCCTGTTTTGTTTTCCGAGCCAACTTGATCCTTCCTCTACGCTTCCATCTCCTTCCCTTGTCGCGCCTCGTGATTGCATACCTGTATTCGTGCGATAATCTGATGTCATCAACAGTGCTGCCATCCAGACAACTATCAAAACAGTGCATGCTGATGGCTGTCAAAAATACTTGGTGATGGTCCGGAAGCGTGCGTTCTGGGTCATCGTGTATACTTCTTACAGCCCCTTTGTACACTGTGATCTATATATCATTTTTGCACTCCGAATCAATCATTCGATTATCACACCGCAAGACTATGTAACCTTTGTCGTCAGCAAGTATATTATCAGTTTACCCTACTCCTGTAGCGCAGCTATTTGTTGTTCTGCTTCTTGTGGGAAATTATGTACCGTATACCCATGTCATTTCATGGAAGTATTAACATCTTAGCGTATTCAATATAGTAAGCGCCAACAGCACCTCTACAAGCACCTCTACATCATTTTGCCTTTCCGAATTCCTTCTTGGATATGTTTCCCTCCTTGAAGGCATGTACACGCTGTAGATGCCTTTTGTGTGCGTCTGATCTCGATGCATTCGCAAGTTTCTCTTGCACCTGGTATTCATCGAACACAAGTAACACAGTAGCTCACCCATTATTGCACCTGAATCCTCAATAGCGATGATGCACATCGCTGTGGAAAACCTACATAGCTGCTTTCTAGAACGATATCTGATGCATGCGATCTAATGCCACTATCCCACTGAACCTAGACACAGTACAATTAGCAGCAATAGTTCAATCAGTGGTTTAAGGCCCGCAACACCCATGTCACCATACTCTCAAAGGCTACTACAGTTTACTCCCATACGTACGTTGCTAGAGGTTGTTGTCTGTTATTATATAGTTCAATGTTGTACACATGTGCATATGTTTTAATAGTAATCTAAAAATAGCATTATCAATAAGTGATGATTTTTGAGGAAATACTCTAAATGCATATACAGACTACATATACATACAGATTTACGGGTACGTTTTTTAATTGCCCAATTCATTTCGCTAAATGTGATATTCAATTCCTTTCTCAAACTTATTTTCTGAAAGTTATCTGGAAATAAAAAATCATGAACAAAGTCGCTCAATGTACATTGTAAATATGGAAAAGTCACTAAATACACATTCACCTATTTCCTTGATGAAAACGTACTGAAATATTGATCAAATATGTACAAATGTACATTTAGCGGCAATTACAATTTTTTTTATGTACATTTACTGACTTTATCGTGCGAAATTTGATTAAAATTTAAATTAAAAGGCCTTCGGCTATATCAGTTTTTTTACGGTATAAATGTGTTGGAGGGGGGGGGGGGGGGTATGTTGTCTGTTATTGATTGGTACTGATATATGCTGCTTCATTCAAGCTTATCTCACAGCCTGGTTCGTAACTCACGTGGTCTGTGATGCTCTTTTACAGGAACATAGGAGAATAGTGTGTTGGAAATCCATTTTCTAATTCTGTTGTCATGTTGGACACTTGTGACATCTGGAAAAAAAAAATCATGAACAAAGTCGCTCAATGTACATTGTAAACTTCGATGGAAATT